CAATGGCATTGAATGTGTAGGTAATCATGTACGGAATCTACATACTATAAAATTATACAATTTTATAAATAAAAGCTTATTTCATTTATCATATCTCATAATGTCTAGGAGCCAATTGTTATTGTATGGCAGTTATTATTTTATGACCACTAAAAATGGGGGGGAAATACTACCATAAATAAATTGACCTAGTTATAAGTTAGAACTCTTTCACACAATATCCCTCATCCTCATCAAAAACTATCTCTTTATAAGAGAGTCACAACTCTTGTCTCCAGGAATTTCTTCCAAAATGCTAACACCTGTTTTTCAAGTTTTGATGTTCATATCTTTTAGATTTTCACTAGAATATTTTGAGGAAATATTTCCAGATAACAACAAGGAAGGCATTTTAAATGGCAATTGCTACAGTTAATTTTATGTCAACCCAGAGAGCTGGTAAAGCATTATTACCAGATGTGTTTCCAGAAAGGATGGGCATTTGAATTAATGGACTGAGTAAAAAAGACACACCCTCACTCATTGTGCGTGGTCACCATTACATCAGCTAAGAACCTGGATAGAACAAAAAAAGCAGAGTACAAGTGAATCAACTCTTTCTTCTAGAGAGGGAGACACTCATCTCTACATGCCTTAGACATCAGACATCCATGTTCTCAACCCTCTAAACTCTAGGACTTATTCCACTGGCCACCCCAGGTTCTCAGGATCTTGGCCTCTGACTAAGAGTTATGCCCTCAGCCTCCCTAGTTCTGAGGTGTTCAGACATAGACTGTGCTGTGCTACCAGCTTCCCTGGTTCTCCAGATTATAGACAACATATCGTAGGGCTTCTCAGCCTCCATAAGCATGTGAATCAATTCTTCTAATAAATCCTCTCTTGTATATCTATATTCTACATCTATTTATTGATATATACATCTATACATGTGTATATGGAGATATCCTATCAGTTCTATCTCACGACTAGTACTTGAGATCTCCAGTCTTCCAATAGGAGTCTCCCTCAACTCTGAACTCCTTATCCTATCCCAAAATCTGTCCCACTCATCCTTACCAGATTCATCCAGATTCCTCTAATTTTCCTTCATTCCATATCCAGTCTATCTTTAAATATTATTGGCTCTTTATTTTTTAAAAATCTATAATTTTATCACTTCTTAACAACTCTGTTTCTCCCACCCTATCTGAATCACCATCATCTATCACCTACATTACTGTCCTGGCCTCTTAGCAGGTCTCCCTACATATTTGCAGGGCCTCACACACAGACAATATTTTCCAAGTATGGCCACTATTTAAACTGTGAACCCTCTCGTGGCTCTTCTGCCCACTGGCATGGCCTAGGAAGCTCTTCCTCTACAAATGCCTTAAGGAGCCTCCTTACCACCTTCATATGTTGAATCAAACATTCTCAAAGGGTTGTGCTTTCACCACTCTCCTGAGCACCACCACAACCCTTCCCCACCCCTTCCCATTCTTGAAGCCCCTTTATACTCATCCACTCTTTTCCATGAGATTTATTACCTCTTAACATCCTAAGTAATTCAATTTTTATTATGTTCGGTGTTTATTATCTGTGTTCCCTGCAGAATGCAAGTGCCAAAAGAGCAAGGATCTTTGTCTCTTTTATTCATTGATGCAAAGAGTGTCTGGTCTATAGCAGGTGATCAACAACTATTTGTTGAATGAATGAAGGAAGCTGGAGGAGGAGGATTCTAAGCACTGCTGAGTGGGGAAGTGATGGATACCAGGAAATAGAGCTGCAGGCTGCAGAAGCAGGTGATAAAAACTGCAATTGGGACTAAACACCATGAGAAGGAGGAGGCATGGACCAGACGAAGACAAAACAGCAGCAGTGGCACCGAAGATGTTCTCAGGAACACCTCAAAGACCTAACACCTGTACCTCCTCATACACGGCTGGATGTGGTGCCATAAATCCAGAGGAGGAACTCCTTAAAGTGATTTTTTTTTTAATGTCTTGGTCTACATTGACTTTGTCTTCTGGAACATGCTACCTTCTCATAATAAAGTACAATAATTGAAAATGTATCTTGAATAGGACAAAAGCTAAGAAATAGCAAATGATCTCCAAGTGTGCTATTTCAAGTCCACAGAGGCATCATTCAAGACTGTACAAAGCCACAATGTTCATGCTGTATTTTTAAAAAATGGTTACTCAGAATCAGTGTATATATAATGACAGCATCTATCTGTGCTTACAAAATTCACATAAAATACTTATAGTCACATAAAATACCTGTATTTACTTAGTGCTCTTTGTCAAAGGAAAATAATAGGACCCTATTCTCTATTCTCAGATGAATGGTTTTGGAAGAAGAAAATCTCAGCATGAGCATATTGGGAGAAATAATCAAAAGTAGCATTTTGGATTGCAATAGTGATCACTGTAAGTGACTCAGCACCACAGCAAAGAAAAGTGCCTATGCAAAATGTTTTCATCAACAAGAGATGAGTACAGCCTATTCCACAAAAGAACAATTCAAAATCTCTACATCATAATTTAGTCAAAGGTGTTTAAAATAACTACACTTGAGTTTTTTTTGTTTTGCAAAGGAAAAAAATTCAAAGAAGAATCCCACTGAAAAGTTCTTTGATGTTTAATCAAAAAGTATCACACTAAACAGTTAAGACAGTGTTGTATCAGATAGCTATGAGGTAGCAGAAGCAGGTAACAAAACCAACAAACCTTTGCCCTTCCTCACTTATAGACTTAGCAAATTCATGTCTGCCTATCTTTATATTATATATGTGTACATTGAGGTTTGTGATGTTATTTAAAATATTTTTGAGGAGTGACATAAAATATAATCTACATTGATCAAAACTATTATATTCTACTAAAATTTATCTTGGGTAAAATGGAAAAAAATGACACTAGTGCTTTGGTGAATGTCTTCATCTGCAATTTTATAGGCATTGTCAAATGCATCCTGCATCTGATCATACTATAATGGCCTCTACTGAGAACCAAGTATCTTGAAAGTGAAATTTAAGGACGTTTTCAGACATAACTCATTCTTGTCCTATACTCTGAATTTCCCACCAGGAGTTGTTCCTGTAGGATAGTATTTCTGAAAGTATGTTCCAAGACTCTAAGATTCTCCCCTGCCCCCACCCCCTAAAATAAGATTTTGTGGTAAAATAAGTTTGAGAAATTCTGTTTATAATATTTCTCCTCTTGAAAATATATAATGTATAATAACATATTAAGGGCTCTGTTTACTGATCAGATGAGTTTGGAAAATTTAGAAATGTATTGAATACATTTTGAAAGTTTTCCTAATTTGTTAGACTAGTAAATAACTAATTCTATTGGACTCACTGGTGAAATCTGCTCCACATATAGTATCTACTAACTGTCTTAAAATCCAAATGCTACACTGCTCAAATCTTGTCCTATCCAGAATAAAATCTGGAGTCCTTTAGAATAAAACCTAAAGTCCTTTCAAAACCCCAAAGACTCCCATTGTCTGGCTCTGCTGGCCTCCAGCCACTCCCAGATACTCCCCAAAGCCCTTCCTCCCGGGCTGTCATCCCTGGCCCCTGCCCCTGCCCCTTTCCCTCTCTGCTTCAGGAACACTTATCCAGAAGCCTTCCCTGGACACTCCAGTAAAGCAACCCCACTGCCCCATCTCCACCCCACATGCTGACATTCCTTTTTCTACTTGGTTGTATTTGCCTTTAAAGCTCTGCTGAGTAAGACCACCTTCCATGCTAGGTTTTATGTATTTATTCCTGTGTACCTAAGGGAATCCAACTCCGTTAAGAACAGGGCTTATGGGCAGCACATGTGGCTCAAAGGAGTAGGGCGCCAGTCCCATATAGTGGAGGTGGCAAGTTCAAACCCAGCCCTGGCAAAAAACTGCAAAAAAAAAAAAAAAAAAAAGAACATGGCTTACTTCTTTTGCCCATGGCTTTGTCTGTTGCATTCAGACCAGTGCCTGAGGCATAGTGCACACTCCGTGAATACCTGCTGTTATTGGATGGGCTGTTCCCACCATCATGTAAGGTGTGTAACTTTGTGAAGCTGATCAGAAGATACACTTTTCATTTGCATATGATTGAGTCTGCAGGGTCTAGCCTTATTAACTAACTATAGAATCTTTTGATAGATATTTGGCAATAATGGTAGGGTTTTTAAATCATCTAAGATAAAGACTAGTTATGTTGAGATAAAATTGTAAGTTTGCATTAGTAATTCATTCCACAGAGATAAATGGATGGCTATAATTAACAGGGACTAAGATAAGATTTAATAAGTGTCTTGATCTTTCTCAAGAATCTAATTGCTCAGATGAGTCTGTCATCTCTGAAAGCTATAAGTAATACAAACAATTTATATATCACTCGCAGAAACTTACAACACAGAGGCTGTAATGAGACTGCTGAAAGTCTGACTCCTTTCATAATCTTATTTGCCTAGCATAGATTTATGTGCACGGTGCTTCTTATTTTTTATAAAAGGTCGTTGTAATTTCCCTAGTTCTCATTATAAAATTGCAATGATTAATTTGTAGACTGTACTTTATTTGTATTGTTCCTGTAAAGGGAATTTTTAACAAAATTGCTATGCCCTTTACAAAGGTGTACAAAAAAAGAGACGGTGAGGAAGAGGGAGGGGGGAGATAGAGAGAAAGAGAAGATGAGAGAAAGAGGTGCGCATAGAAAGGCCTGGAGGGGCCGCGGCGTGCGGGGTGCAGAGCCTGGGCGAGCTCGGCTCCACGTGAGGTCCACGCTGCCCTTGTGATGGAAAGGAAGCTGGAGCCAGAAGTCCAACTGGAGGGGTGGCCCTGTGGCCCGGAGCCCCCTTTTCTCCCAGACTAGAGAGTTCAGGCTCCCCCCCGGGCTGGGCCCGGAGAATGGGCCCCATGCCGTGGAAGTGGGGCTCTCTGGTGCCCATGAAGGGGACTGCGAGGTCTCCAGGGGACCCCAAGCACCACCAAAAAACCCCAGGAGTGAAAAACCCCACAGGCAAATGTGCAGTACCAACGTGTCTGTGTCCGCTGATGTAACCGCCTCGCAGATTCCATCTTCAGAACAAGAGACCCTGGTTGGCCCAAAAGCATTGCTTTTGAAGTTGTCAAAATCTGTTGGTGCACAAAAAGACACTTACACAGTGAAAGAGGCTGCATTTTACCTTGGCCACTATATTGCGACGGAACGATTATATGATGAAAAGCAGCAACATATTGTATATTCTTCAAATGATCTTCTAGGAGATTTATTTGGAGTGCCAAGCTTCTCTGTGAAAGAGCACAGGAAAATACATAAATGATCTACAGAAACTTAGTAGTAGTCAATCACCAGGAATTATCAGACTCAGGCACATCTGTGAGTGAGAACAAACGTCCCCTTGAAGGTGATGAAAGGGTCCCGTGCAGGAGCTACGGGAAGAGAAACCTTCACCTTCAAATTTGGTTTCTAGACCACCTGCCTCATTTAGAAGGAGAGCAATTAGTGAGACAGAAGAAAATCCAGGGGAATCGTCCAGTGAACAATAAAGAAAACCTCACAAATCTGACAGTATTTCCCTTTCCTCCGATGGAAGCCTGGCTCTTTGTGTAATCAGGGAGATACCCTGTGAAAGGAGTAGCAGTAAGTCTAGACACCACCAAATCCCTGTCTTGATGCTGATATAAGTGAACATTCAGGTGACTCATTGCATCAGGATTCAGTTTCAGATCAATTTAGTGTAGAATCTGAAGTTGAATCTCTTCATTCAGAAGGTTGTAGTCTTAGTGAAGAAGGACAAGAACTCTCGGGCAAAGATGATGAGCTGTATCAGGCAGAGGAAAGTGATACAGATTCATTTGAAGAAGACCCTGAAATTTCTTTAGCTGACTATCAGAAATGTACTTCATGCAATGAAATGAATCCTGCCCTTCCACCCCAGTGCAACAGATGTTGGACCCTTCATGAGAACAGGCTTCCTGAAGATAAAGGAAAAGATAGAGGGAATATCTCTGAGAAAGCCAAACTAGAAAACCTAACACAAGCAGAAGAGGGCTTTAATGTTCTAGACTGTAAAAAAACTACAGGGAGTGATTCCAAAGAGTCATCTGTGGAGGAAAATGATGAAAAAATCACTCGGGCCTCCCAGTCACAAGACAGTGAGGACTATTCTCAGCCACCAACTTCCAATGGCATTATTTACAGCAGCCAAGGAGATGTCAAAGAGTTTGAGAAGGAAGAAACACAAGACAAAGAAGAGAGTATGGAATCCAGCTTTCCCCTTAGTGCCATTGAACCTTGTGTGATTTGCCAAGGTCGACCTAAAAATGGTTGCATTGTCCATGGCAAAACAGGACATCTTATGGCACGCTTCACGTGTGCAAAGAAGCTGAAGAAAAGGAATCAGCCCCACCCAGTATGTAGACAGCCGATTCAATGATTGTGCTAACGTACTTCCCCTAGCTGACCTGCCTATAAAAGTAGAATATATATTTCTAAGTATAAAACCTTAAAAGTTTAGACAACATGGAATTTATTTTTATTTACATATATCAAAGTTAGAAAATGTCTCAATACAGATAGTTTTTTTTTTTTCCCTTTAGTGTACTTTACCTACTTTGAGAGAAGAATGGTGAATATTTATTTCCTTTTAGGAAAATTTCACTTCTGTTTGTATTTGGCTTTTAATATAATTTGAGTTGGATATGTAGCTCATGCTTTACCCGTGCTCCTCATTTTAAATAATTTCTACTTTCTCTTAAGTGAGAAGTATCTGATTTTTTAAATATATATATATTTTATATGTAGGACACCTAAATGTAATTTATTTAGTATCTCTCATGCATAGAGAAAATGTGCAGTAGATTTTAATTAAATTTTTGGTACTTTTTTTAAAAAAGAAAGGAGAGGAAGATGTGGGATTCCTCATTCGTTCAGACTTGGCTGGAGAATGAATGTATAGTAAGTAGATAACTTTCCTCTTTCCTTATCCATTGTCTGTGGGAGGGGTGTAATGGGACTTACTGACTCTCCTGAGTGGGACTCACATTGTGTTTCTCACATTGGTCATTGGGTCCCAGGTGATAAAAATGGATGCCTAAACAGGACCAAATGATTGCAAGAGTGCCCCACATACAAACTGTGCTTATACAGGTAGACATACAATACATGTTGACAGACATTTGGAGTCAGGGAGCATTAAAAGTTACCCATTTCCCCAGCTAGTAAACCAATACTTCCAATGTCTCAAAGCCCCTTTTCATCTCACCCTCCAGCTCCCAGCTTGTGCACCTGTTTCTGTAGCAGGAGACTGTCATAGATAGTCCCCGTCCCAGTCCAGCCACCTCCTCATTATAAAGGAATTCTCAAATTTAAAGAGAGAGATTTTCTTCCCTTTAAGCTATACATACGCCCCCCCAAAGGGAAATGCCCGCCAACCCCAACTGAGAGTTGCTACTTTCCTGCCCTTTAAAGAAAATGCCACACTTTGCTTTTGTTCATAGGCGCTGCAGTTTTCTGCAGCATCAGATTACAGATTCTCCTGCCAAGGAGATGGAGGAAGAGAAGGAAGAGGAAGAAAGAGAGCTGCCAACATTGCTGCTGTTTCTGGGGGACTCACGGGACTCTGTAATCTTTCCCATGAGCTCTGCTCTCTTTCATGAGCTCCAGAACCACGTTTCTACCTCCAGAATAGACCTTTTCACCTCACCTTGGCTTTGGCGTATCCAAAGCTTCACCTTCCCTGCAAAATGAAAGAAAGCCATGGCTCTCGCTTTCCTTTCTTTGGTAATAGATGTGCCAACTTTCTCAGCTTGGGAGCTGGGACACACACACACCCCTTCTTTCCTCCCACACCGTCGACAGTTAGTTCTGTGACAGCTCATTCCCAGCCCCATGGCCATAGCTATGTCGGGACTCTGCCATTGTTCACATGCCGTGTCACAGCCAGTCTCCAATGGGTCCCCTCTCATCCCTTCCCACCCACATTTTCCCAACGGTCTGCTTCAACCCTACTTTTCCCTAGTAGAGAATGTCAATTATTGCCTGCTGCTGATCACATGAAGTAGCTTCCTTTCTCTTCAATATGATCCCAGTCTTACATCCCACATATATCTCATATATAATCATTGTATCATGTATCAATATATCATATATCAATCTCTCTCTCCCCCTTACACAGACACACACACTTCTACCCAAAGTCTCAGCCAAATAAAACTATCCCCTGAACATTTTCCTGCCTTTCTACCTCCATTTCTTTGGAGTTGAAGTCCTTCTTACTTTCCAGAGATACTCTCAAATGGCTCCTGAGTGGCACTGGGATGCCTTTCTACTCCATGCAAACTCTTTCCTCTCTAAATCACATATCAGGCTTTTTTTTCTTACCTCAGTGAATTTTGTCTTTTCATCTTTATAACATAAGAAGTTAAGTACTCAATATTAAGTATTGATTATTTGCCATAAGGGCAAAGACTACATCTTAAGCATCTCTACCTTACCAGTTCCTAGTATATGATATCTGGCGCATTGTAGGTACTGGATACATATTTTGTAAATTAACTTGAAAATACCTCAATAGCAAACTGTTATGTTAATGTTATGGGTATAACTTTAGCCCTCAAGCTGTCACAGAGAATTCTTTACTAAGCTAAATTAGTTTCTTTAACTGGACTGAAATCACTTGCCCTGAAAGCTCGTGGTAGGACAGAATGTTAACTCATCTGGTTAGCCTGTGCTAAATCAGAATTCTGTTTGGTATTCCCACTTGTAAATGAGCTCCTTTTAATCTCCGTATAGCCATATGCTTTTGTAAAGGTTGCAAAAATAAGATCAAGAATCATTGTCACTTTTCTCTCCACCTTCTCTTCTGTCGCACTTCTCAGCAATTTCTGAAGTGCTAGATCTCTGAAAGCGCTGCTGGGTCCAGCTAAGGGGAAGTTGGATTGGGTTTGCTTTTAGTGGAATATGTTTAGTATTATTGTATATATTGAATATATTATTGAATATATTTAGTATTATAATATATTTAGTAGTCATTGAAGTTATTAGACTATTGTTAGTTGTCCTAGGAAAGCCTTCTAAGAATATTCTTATCACCCACTGTGCCAGTTCTCCTAGTAATACAACACAGAAACCAGGGCCAGAGGCCATGTAAGATGTATTTTTATGAGATATTCTTCTATGAGACATATTCTAATACCTGGCCTTGGAGTATGTGGATAATGGAAACTAAACAGGGTTTGAAATGCTGAAAGCCAAAGTTAATTCATGGAAAATGCTTCACATCATCAGATAACTAAAATTATAAATAGGAAATTCAATGCTCATAGATTCTAACCACAAAGGAAGCCCTCTTTTATCAGGATTAGACATGATAATGCAGCGTATACTCTTACAAATGAACCATAAATTTTTGCATGTACTTGATGAGACTAACAAAAAAATAAAATTTATTTAATCTCTGTGCATATAAGGCACAAATTTGTAGCATTATTACATACAAGTAGGTCTGCATGTGAAATTCCATATTTTATATGCTGAAATTTATCAGATTTGACACTTTAATGTCATCTAGGCATCTGGTCTAGGTAAAGTCTGGTGATTCCAGACAAAAAGACACTTGGCATTTGCCACCAACAGCAGAGAAAAAGCCTCTAGTTAAAAACATTCAGTGATAAATTCTTAGACATATTCAAAATGCTATTGATTACGCCCTAATAAATTTTATACACCTTTTATATTTCAGATAATTTATTTTATATTTTTCAGAATTATTGGTTACATCGAGATCAAATATACCAGGAAATGAATGTCTTCAATTAAAAAAAAATGAACATTAGTCATTGCTTTTGAAAATTTGACATGTTAAAGCTTTCTTATCAGAAAAATTACCTGATAAAGGTTTCCCCCAAATTTAATAAAATTCCTGAAACTATATTCAATTAGACATTATGAGCTGGAAGAAATTTATTTAATCTATTAGTAATAATATACACATTTTGGTCAGTTATTATAGCAAAAAACATCTCTATTCCTCCTATGAAAAACAATGCTATGTTATAAAAATCATCATACTTAAAACAGGCCAATCAGAATATGAGCCATAATTTGTAAGAAGTTCTATGGAGCTATGCTAAGCAATTGATGAAAGATACCCCATAAGTTCATTAATGTACATAGCTATGATTTAATAGAAAAAAATAAATAAAAGAAAAAAAGATATTGTATTATTTTTATGGATTATGTGATGGGGAAACTGAAGCCCAGAGAGTTAAGCCACTTGCTCAAGGTTACCTATCAAAGCAAGCTCACGGCAGAGCTGGAATGCAGAGCTGTCAAAAGATAATTATTAGTCTTTCCTACAAATAAGTTTTATTTTTAAGCACTTCAGTCATCTCCACTTAAGCATTCTGAAAATTGTCTATTTTTCCTATCCTAACTGTAAGATGCAGAATCACATGGAATACCTAAAATTCCCTATGTATTGAGTTATAATAGTCCTATTTTTAATAGAAATATAATTAAGATTTATAGGTTAGCCATTTATGACTGCGTAGGATAAATTATATCCCGTGGTTATATCGTAGGAGTAGGAACTTTTGTTGTTAATTACACTGCAGAGTGTTAGAAGCAAGCTTTCTGTGTGTATTTGCCATGTTACCCAACTGCTTTTTGCAGCTCTAAAGAACCCTGGTAAATTCATTCTAATTATTCACACCCCGGGGGTATAACTAAATGCATATTTAAAATTAAATATAAGCTTGCTCATCCTGAGAGAAAAAAACTCTAATAAAATAGCATAGATGCATTTATAACAAATTTTTGAGGTAACTCAAAAGTAATTTAAAAACAGTCCAAAAACAGTTCATTGTCATTTAATTGAATTCAGCTTCATCTATCTTGAACATTTAATCAAATTTTACTTTTTCATGAAGTCATGGCATATAAAATTGAGGATTGATGACAGCTAATTTGGGGTAAGATACAATACTACAGCAAAAATGTAGGAAAGCATAAAATATCCTTGTTAGTAAAATGCTAATAAAAGAATTTAAACATCTGTAATGAATAGCATCTTAAAATTAAGTAATTTTAATGACTTTCAAGTATGTGACAGAAGATAATGCACTATAAGAAAAATATTCAAAACTACTCTGGTATTTCATCCAGAAACAGCTTCATGACCCAGCACAAAATAAACTTCCTCAAGCATTCATAAACAAGAAGTTCATGAGCATCCTTGGCAGGATGACTCACTCAATATTTTTTCCATATGGCCAACAGATTCAATAAATGGCTAAATAAAAAATTCAGTGAGGCTATTCAGTAAGGCACCATTTCTTGAGAGCCATTATGTTCAATTAACATAGGACCCTATTTCTGATGGTACCCAAATGTTTAGACATACTATGACAGGGGGTAAATGACTACATTATGCTT